AAAAGTTATTTAGGTTCCTCTTTCTTTCTCTCTTTGCTTAATTTAATAATTTGTATATGTACATATGTAGCCTTTTCATATCTTTGTATGCATCAGTTTCCAATACTATAAAGGTTTGGAGGACATCCCTCTACTCTTTCTTTCTCTCCTGGCAAGCCTCTCCACAGTCTTCTCTGTCATTCTTAATCCTCCACTACCCCTTCTTCTTACCTTCAACTGTTCTCTAAAGGTTACATTATATCATATCAATTAAGCAATAGTACTTTTGAAGGTATGAAAGAAATAAAATTGTTTTTTTTTCTTTCCTTTAATATGATAATTTGAAGAGAAGAAAGAAGATAGAAGAGGGAGTGCTCAATGTCTTCCTGAATTCTTTTCGAGGGAGAAGAACAGAGACATACCCTCCTACCAATTATGTGTGCTGGAGAGAGAGAGAGGACCCATATTGACCCATATTTTTTTACACCTGTTAAGCATATTTATGGACCTTGTCTACCGCACATTAATAAATAACCCCACGAATTTTATGATCAAACCCTAAGAATCTGAGAAAGATGATAATACTGCAATGTTGTCACTAGAGACATTTAATAAATCTAATGCTGACAAATCTTCCCACTGGTCGTTCATCAATAACAGTGCATCAAACCCTAATTTTGTTTTTTGGATAAGTATGAGGGGGTGCCACCCGTATACAAAAAGAATTGGGCCTGATAACCCCAGAATGTGTGGAAATACAACCATCAAAGTATACCTCCAAAGCTATTTAAAAGACTCGACAAAATCTAAAATTTGCTCATGGATGGGTTTACCCATTCAAGAATCAAGTATACTAAAAAAGAGTTTCGATGCTTATAGAGTGGTGCTTCCATCCCTTCAAAGGTTCTATTCTTACGTTCTTTGCAAATGATCCACATAATATCCTGCGACATCAAGTTTCATGTTTTTTCTTCCACTTATTCACGCACGCTCCATGCCAAGAATGAAGGAGACGCTTTACATCCTTCGGGAAAACTCAACTGATTCAAACCAAACTGAAAACCCAAGACCACGAAGCATTAGCCACCTTACAATGAATAAGGAAATGGCTAATCCTTCTTACACATACAACACTAGTTCACATGGATTTGTCTCATCTTCCTCAGAATATCAATAGTGAGAATCTTGCCATAGGCTGCTGTTCAAGTTAAAAAGCTATTTTTGTGGGGGCCTTCATACCCCACACCACAAACCTCTCCATGGAAAAGTTGCCTTATCATCAACAGATGAAGGAACTCCCTCCCCTCCTTATCGGTATCCTCATTAACCGGGACAAAAACAATGGTCCTAAGAATAAGATGAGGAACTGGGCTTATTTTTCTTTACCCACCTAGCATCAGGCAAAGAAGAAACGGGCTTAAAAAGCTTGGAACTCAAACGGTGGTTGAGCTTCTAAAGCCACCATCTTTGTTTGACTCAAAAGTGGCCCACTTACCCTTCTCAGCCCAAGAAAATCTTCTCAAGCTACAGGCCATTTTTTAAGAGGATACCTTTTTACTCATTTTAACGGGTCAAGCTCAAACCTAGTAGCCAACGAAGGTCTACTGCTTAACTAACCAACAACTTGGGTTGATCTTCTCCGATCCATCCTACCCATCTGACTTGGCCCACCATGTGGCGTAACCAAAGCACCCCACCTGTCCCTCTCTCTAGCTCCATCTTTGTCCTTGTGCCATGTGTATGGAGGTCTCAACTACCTCCGATGCATTGGTCTCACATGGCCTCCTATCTGTCGATCATCATACGCAGTATCTGAAGCAAATAAAATATTGCTCTCTCAAGAGGCTGAAGAGCTTATCGATTAGGGCAAGAAAAATTGGGGGAAGGAAAGAGATTTGGAGCTTCAGATTAGCTGGAAGTTGGGACTTAGAAGCTTCACAACTAAAACCCAGGTACTATTCTTCTTCTTCTTCTTCTATGAAGCACCGACACTTCAAAACAAGTGCCGCATCCGTGTCGGACACACGGACACTTTGGGGACACGCAGATACTTCGGGGTGTGTCCCCTTATTTAATAATTTATTTTTAGGGGACATGCCGGGGACACACTAGGGACATGCCAAGTTGTCTTTTCCCCCATTTTCTTTAGTGCTTTGGATGAATGTTGAGTGTTTATTATTTTTTTCTCAGATCTAAATACTTAATAGATCATCCATAAAAAAAATATAAATTATAATTGTCAATTTAAAAATATTTTTTTTAATAAAAAATATAGAATTAGAGTTATTTTTGTTAATATTGATTGTTTGTGGATGTGACATTAATCTAGATAGCAAATAAAAATATATGAAAACATATTTTACTGTCGTGTCTGCGTCGTGTTAGTGTCCCCATTTTTTTAAAATCGTTGTCCCGTGTTCGCATCCATATCCGTGTCTGTGCTTCTTAGACTTCTTCTTTTCGTAATCGTATTCGAATTCAAATTTTCCTTTTCTTTTCTTTTCTTTTCTTTTCTTTTTTTCCATGTTCTTCTTTTTTCCTTCTTATTCTTCTTCCTCCTCCTCTTCTCTCTGTCTGAATTCAAATTCGAATTGAATCAGTTTTTTTTTTCCCTGTGTTCTCTTTTCCTCCTACTGCTTCTGCTACTGCTTTTTTCTGTTTTTTCCTGTCTTCTTCTTCATCATTTTTCCTGCTTCTTCTTCCTCCTTTTTTCCCTCTTGCGTGTTGCTTTCTTCTCCTCACTGATTGTGTTTTTCGCCCCTCCTCTTCTACTTTGTTTTAAATTCACATTCTTCTTCCCCCCTTTCCCCTTCCTATTTTCCCCCAAAATTTGTTACAGTTACTATTTTGTTCTATTTATCTTTGCTCTGTGTTCTCTTTGTGTTCACTTTGCTCTGTGTTCTCTTTTTTTTCTTCCCAATTCTACACTTTGTTACTGTGCCGCTGCTTCCCTTTTTTTTTTTTTTTGGTTCTCTATTACCGCTAATTTGCGTTCAACTCATGTGTATACTATGCAATTAGGCACTCTGTTTTTAGCTTAATTATTAAAACTCGTCTGTCACAATTTGCAGTCAGTGGATTTGGGTGGCACTAGTAGCATCATACACCAATAATAATTTTGGCAGTGTTGATTGTGGCAGTGAATAATTTCAGCGCGATGACTTATTTTAGTCTTTTATTTGTTCTTCCCTTATTTTAGTTGTCTTCTTTTCATTAAGAAACTATGAGAATGTTGTGCAAGTGAGAGTGCAAGGATTTGAACCTCGATATGTTGTCCAAGTGAATCAATCTACCGTTTGAGCTACATCCTCATGTTTTTTTGGATCATTCTATTTGTATTTTGATAGTATTACTTGGTCATATAAAAATTATTATATATATTTTTTATCATTTTAGTAGGATCTTATGATCCTCGATCCGATCCAGTAGACCCCAAAACGATCCTATGTAGGATTCCGATCTTAACAACCTTGACTATTATCTACAGAGAACCAAAAGATTTCCACTAACCAAGGGCCCTATTTCTTCTATCAATTCTATCAGAACCCTTCTTTTATCACAGATGCATTTCTAAATCCACCACATTGCCACAACTCTTAACATTCTTTAAAAAAATGGTATGTCTAACTTGACGACCACTTTTTATCAAGGGATACCAGTTCACAATGGCCCCTCCAACCTCAATGAGATTGAAAGCCTTTGTCCCTACATGCTCAATAACCCTATTCTCCATCTTTGTGGTGGCAAAATGAGCATTTAGGAAAACAATGAACCATTAGACTCTGGTTTTGAAGCAAAGTTTTCCACTTGCAATTTGAACAATCAAACATCGTAAGTTTCATCAAATGCTCATTTTGACTATGATAATTACTTGATAAAAGTATTTGTTTGGGAACACTAAATTAGAAATATGAAGTAAAACACTGGAGTCAAAAAAGGTTTAAAATTAGAAATAAAACTAAAAATATGGAATGTAATTTTAGTATAGTGGAAGTAGAAATAATAAATAATAGATAAGTAAATATTGAAAATTAGGAGATAACAAGAAGTGAACATTTTTGTTACCTAAGTGCAGTTATTAATAAGGATGGTAAAGTAGGAGATAATGTGATCCATAGAATCAAAGTAAATTGGCTCAAGTGGAGTGGGGTTTCTAGCATATTATGTGATTGATGAATACCAAAAAATTGAAAGAAAATTTTCATAGAACAATTATAAGGTCAGTGGTGCTTTACAGAACAAAATATTGGGTAACTTAGAAGCAACACGTTTATAAAATGAGTGTAGTTGAGATAAGTATACTTAGGTAGATGTGTGGTAAGACTAGGAAAGATAGAATTAGAAATAAATATATTCGTGAAATGGAAGACGTAGGATAAGTTGAGAGAGAACAGACTAAGATGATTTGGTCATTTACAACAAAAGACCTATAACTGTCATCAAATGGTTTGCCGACCCCAATTTAGTGGGACAGTTGGTTTAGGTTGGTTTCATTCTAAAGCTACTATTCAACTCTAGCCTGTAGACATACTTTTTATGACTATTGTGAAATGGAAATGTTGCTCTTGCCTCTTTTACATATTTTATTTTTGGCAAGTGAAATGTCCTTCACTGGCAATACTTTTATGCAAAAACTAGTACTCGAGTTGGCCTCGCAAAGTTTCTTTTTCCATAAAATATTGGTAAGCATAATCTGTACGCCTTTCAGAGATGAACTTGTGGTTGAATACATATTCAAATTGCTGCCAAAAATTAGACGGCATTAAGGTGAATGAGCCTGGGTGAATATTGATTGGGTCTGATTATATTCACATGGCATTCCAGGGTTGGCTGTGTGTCAAATATGTATGTATTCAAGTGAGATTTGCAATATTGTCATGTTTATATTAACTTATTTCTCACTAATTTGATCTTTTTATGTCACATGTTAAACTGGAACTTTCTTTCTTTCTTTTTTTCTATGATCTGACGAGCATAAGAAAAACTAGGGCTAATAATATTTTTGGAAAAATTTTGAACAGGTGATTGGTTGGACAAAACAGATGTTTTTTGCTATGGTGTTCTACTTCTGGGGCTTATAAGCAAAAGAGTGTATGATCTGAATGAACGTGAGCGCTTGGGAGATGATATTATTGTTCATTTGTGGGCCAAGAGAAAGTACAAAAAACGCAAGTGTAAGTCGCTTGTGCATAACAGTCTTAAGAATGATCCATTCTTTGATGTTCGTGATGGAGTTGAAATCACGAAATTGGCAATGCGTTGTGTACGTGATGATCCAAAGCAACGACCAACGATGAGTGAAGTTGTTTGCTGTTTGCAAGAATTATTTGTGTTCTTACGTTCACATACTAGGCATCCCTAAGATGATTGTTGTTGGAGGTGGGGATGCTATACTACTGTACTGTCAGAATCAAACAATTAGGGTACTGGATGTTCTATTTAGTTGTTTGTTTCTATTTTCTTGGATCAAAGCTGTGTAGGTACTACTAACAATGAATTGCTGGATGATAGCTCTTGGCATATATTAACTGTAATGATGAACCCACTAGATCTCTAGTTTAGGAGCCTTGTGTACTATTATTCTCGCTTTCAAGAGAATTTGCTTGTTCCCTTAAAAGCAATTTCATCATGGGGAATCTTACAGTAAAGATAATATTTCATTTTCCTTTTCCTTTTCCTTTTCCTTTCGCAAGTAGCGTAAATAAATGCAACGACAGGGGTGGGGAAGGGAATCACATCCAACTTGTTTCAAACCTGCCCAACACATCCCAAAACTCAAATACAAAGAATTTAAAAGATGGAAACAAGATAAAGACAACAACAACCATAACGAAACCCAAGTCCAGAATACAATAAGCAATGGAGGGAAAACGGGGATCACAGAATTGAGGATGGGAGTGACGGAGTCAGGAAATTGAGTTAGAGGGGCACTATTAATTATAATTTTTTATTTAAAAAAAATCATGATGAACATTAAGATAATAATAATTTTATGAGTTAAATTTAAGTATAAAAAATTACATATTTATTATTAATAGGAATAAATCAAAATTTTATAATAGTGTAGAATAGTTCGGTGAGGGATGGTGACGTAAGTTTGTAATTTTAGCACAAAAAATTATGGATCAAAATTCTTAATTTTAGAAAATAAAAACATATCGTTTATAACATAAATTATTACAAAATTTATTTAATTTTTATTTGATTGAAAAATATTAAAGAGGTGACATTGCTTATAAATGATGTGTTTTGAATGAAAATTATTAAATAGTCTTAGAATATCATATAACATTGCCTACGTGATGTTCAAAGTTCAAAGCATGAAAAATCACAAATCACACTAAGAAATCTGTCAACTGTTTGAAAATAATGAGTTCATTATATTTAATCTATAAGATTTTTCGCTATATTATTGGTTTAAACTATTATATAAATAATATCACACAGTGCTCTTAAAGTATTAAATAATTACTTGTTATGAACAATACAATAAATCCTTAACCAAAGAACGTGTTAAGAAAAAAAAATACATTTTATATATGACAAAAGACAAAAAAAAAAAAAAAATCTCAAAACTGAGGGGGGGCACGTGACCCCCCTCGTCCTTCTTTGCCTCCGCCAATGAGTGACACTGGTTGGGGAAGCCAAGGTGGAGGTAAGTTAGTAATGGTAGTTTTAAGTGGCGGCGGTAAGTTAGTAATGGTAGTTAGTAATGGTTGTTATAGCAGTTTTGAGTGATGGAGATGGGTGGTTGTAGTGGTATTGGGTGGTAGAGATGGCTGGTTGTAGTGTTTTTGGATGTTAATGGAGTGGTAGTGGTTTTGGGTGGTGGTAACGTGTGGTGGTAGCGGAATGAGAGAGAAACAGGAGATACAGGGAAATAAGAGTCCTCGGTTGGTTTTTTTGTTTTTGTTTTTGTTTTTGTTTTTGTTTTTTTTTCAACTTTTATGTGAAGAGGAGGATAGTTTTGGTAGCTCAAGCGTTAGGCGCAGTATGTTTAGCTGCTTTTTATATGGTTATAGATATTGATAAGTTGACAGTCCGGTTTCTCTCAAGTTGGAACACCATGACTGGTTTTGTTCTTTTCACTAGTGGGATTTGTTTAAATTTAGGATATGGATGTATGCAAAGTCATTTGGTTTTATGGTTGGAGTTTGTTTTCATAAAGTAATAGTGACCATGTGATGCACGAGAATTTATTTTTAAAATAAAAAATTAATTTTGAAAAATAAAAAATTAATTTTGAGCTTTAATATTTTATGTGTAGAAAATTTTAATAATTGAAAGTCAAATATAAATAAATTTGTTAATGACTGATGACAATTTGTCACAATATGTGATTTTATATAAAAGGCTCATAAAAATTATTTCTTTCAAAGATTAAAAAAGAAAAAAGAAGTCAATATTCTCACCCTAAAATTAAATCTTCATTTGTATTAATCAAATTTATTAAAAATCATGAATTCTACTTGTATCAAAATATATATTTTTTTCTAAAAAAAAAAAATGAAAAATTTTATAATATTACAACTCATGGTATATTATTTTAGTTATTAATCAAAAAGAACTTTGATAATTTCTTATGTTTTTGGTTATGTCAAAGTGGTGCATCGGGTCTTTAATTATGCTTCAAGTGATGTTTGATTATGATCTATTATAATACTTTTATATGACAATTAAATATTTAAATATTTTATTACATGAAAAAAGTGTTTAAGGTTGGTTAACACAAAGGTAGGATTTATGCTTATATCAGCAAGACCGTAAGAGTTATTCATAGTGATGAATAAAAAATTACAAATTCAAATGTTAAACAGTTCTCTCAAAGAGAATTAGACACAAAATCTATATAACCTTAATAATTTCACTTCTCAAAAATGTTTTGATTAATTATGTGACACATCATAATAACTGCAATTTTTCATTCCAGTCAAATTATTTTTGTGCATATCTTTTTTGGCAAAGCTCGTGAAGGTGCATTATCAGTAATATTATAAATTCAAAATTTTTATTTAAAAATTATTCAAGAAACATCAATAGGTGTCTTAAATATACACAATCCTTTTTGATGAATCATTATTCTTTAAAATAATACTCCACAATATTTATCATTTGGTATTTGCCAATTTATCATCTAAAAACTTAACAAAAAAAAGTATTGAGTTTCATTATTTTAATCAATCAATATCAAATTGGACTCTATACGTGTATGTAAATAACTTATAGAAATATGATGTCTGACATAAAATCACATTAAAGTTAATTTTAACTAATATAATAATATTTTATATTATGATATGTGTTACGAAAAAATAATATTAATTTTAATTTAAAATAAAATTTAAATTTAAATTATTTATTTTAATAATCTTAGCGTTATCGTTCTATAAAAGTATTAAAAGAAAAGAAAAAAAATACTACTTATATGTGTGTGTGTGTGAAAGAGAGAGAGAGAGAGAGAGATATATATATATATATTAAATTATAAGATAGTAAAAAATAAATACTCATTTTGATATTAATAATAATAGTTAAATTAGAAAGAGAATATCAATATAAAACTAAAAGTGATTCTAATTATTTATTTTATATTTATTTAGAAAATAAAAATATGTACAAATGGAATTGCACAAAATTTATTTAAAAGATTAAATATAAACATGTTGTGATTGGATTAAGAAGAAAATGCATAAATTAATTATGTAGAGTATTGATTTTTTCCTTAATATTCTTTTTGAATTATTCATACATATTGTAAATAGGTATATAAAATTTAAATTAAATATAAATGTTTTGTAATAAATAATTTCATATTAAATAAAAAAAATTAAATATAAATTAATATTAAGACATCAATAAGATAGACAAAAATAAAATATTAAAGAAAATTAATTTGATCCGTGTGATATATATAATTAAGCATATTCTGTCTTATTTATTTATTTATATATCAAGATAATTTTTTTTGAATATCATAATAATTAAATTATAATTATATATATGAAAAATAAGTATTTATCAAATAGAGTCTGTGTAAAATTAGTTATTATAATTGAAATTGAGTTTGTATAGAACCTTATATGTAAATAAAAAAATGCATGATGATGTGGCTTTTTTAGAAAAAAAGAAAAGAAAAAAGTAAGCCTTTAAAATGTGCCACATAAGTAAGGAAAAAATATTGCTTTTAATAATATACTAATAGTTGATCTGTGCAATGCACGTGTTATTTTTTTTTTCAAAAATATTTTGATGGTACAATGTGTGTTATAAAATAATTAAATTAAAATATTGTGGGGGCCGAATATTGGGAGTCGTAAAGAGGCTGAATAACTGGACATGGAGAGTCGAAATATATACATCGCATTCGGCCTTGTCTTGCACATTTAAATCCTACCCTATTAGGCCAAATAGCCAGTTGAGTAAGGGGCCGAGTGAAAAGCGGTTTGCAACAAAAGAAGCCGAGTAAATAGTTATACGACGAATTGAAAGTGGGCCCAGTCCCGAGACCCAAGAAAGAAAAGATATAAATAGAAGAACATTAGCCAGAAAGAGGTATGTGAGAATTAGTACGCTTAACTTAAAATACAAGTAACTAAGAGAGTATACATTAACTTAACCGTCGAAGTGCTAATTCCGGCACCCCCGACCGGAGTATTTGTTTCTTTGCAGGTCGTCCAGGTCATCAGCTGAGGATCTCGAGCGCCCTAGTGGAGCAAAAGAGTATTTCCAAACCACTTCCCCACAATTGGCGCTGTCTGTGGGAATACTCAAATACATCCATGGAGGGCGTAACGGAAGACCCTCTGATAGTCACTGACGAGACCACACACAGAGGCGACCTCACTCCAACAAACATGCTTGGACCGGAGACTATCGCCACAAGACGTGCCTTGAACTTCAACTCACCCTCGACTTCAGCGCATGAGACAATGCAAGCGATCATGGAAGTGGCGAATAGAGGTTGGAGAACATGATCGCTGAGAACGAACGTCTCCGTTAGGATTTGGCCTTGGAAGTGGCGAAGTCCAAACAAGCTGCACGCCAAGATCCGGAACGACCTCTGAGGGCAAGTGGTCGACGACCTCGAACCCGACAACAAGACACTGACAGTGACTCTGACTCATTATCCCCGGAGCCCAAAAAGAAGGGACGACCCGAAACTACCAGTTCCTCTGAAGAGAGTCCACGTATAAGGCATAAGCGAAGACGAAATGGTTCAGACGAAGAGGACCAACACGATCCCTTTGTGCGACGGATCGCAAAGGCTATACTATCTAAGAAGTTCAAAGCCCCGTCGTTCACCTTGTATGACGGGAAATCGGATCCCACAGATCATATCCGTCACTATAAGCAAGCCATGACGTTGCATGCAGATGACGAAGCTCTCATGTGCAGAATATTTCCAAGCAGTTTAGGACCACTGGCTGTCAGGTGGTATTATAAACTGGAGCCGGCTTCAATCAAGAGCTTCCACCAACTCCAAAAATCCTTCAGGGCAAGGTTCATCACTAATGAGGTCCAGCTAAAGCAAGCCGATTCCCTCTGGGCAATACAGATTCAACCGGGGACAACCCTTCGTGCATATTCGGCGCGGTATTGGAAGTGTTTTAATCTGGTAGATGATGCTTGCAATGACTCCGTGGCCATT